GAACTAAAAATCAGCACACATTTGACAGTGACATTTCGTACTCGCAAACGATAAGAATTCGACATTGGTTCGTGCTAAGGGTACGGTTCCTTAAAGCTGTGAAAAATGAAAATTAACGTAAAAAACGATACGGCCGTTCATGTTGTATACCTACGAAATTTGTACGGATCCATCGATGGGTGAGTCCGACTCGTGTTTATCAGTTTTTTTTTTATTTTTAAGCTCCTGTTTAATTGCCAATTTAGTTACTGTTTTTGTTATGTTACATTGAGACTAATTTGCGAATCCCTGATAACAACAACAAATAAAATACGTGTACTTTACACTATTTTGCATACAGAAAACACCAGATCGAACACAATATCTATGCAGTGTCCAATCGCAGATTCCTTTCTCCGTAGGCACAGGCCGGTCCGCGGAGTTACGACTGCTCCCCAGAAATTTATCGCCGGCTACTTGAAAAGCGATATGTTCGCGGCAAAATGTAGCGACTGTATCCCTCCCAGCCAATTCCCTGTGTATAAAGATAGCGACCAGTATCTCCCCTGATTACTTAAGAAGACTTAGTATTATTGGAATGGGCTGTGTCTCGAGCCTTTTTTATACAAAATTTAGGATGCTTCGGTAATGGGAACAAAAATGAGATTCTTCGGTATTGCGTTAAGCTTTGATAACATTCATCACGACGACCTCCGTGGCCGAGTGGTTTGTACGCCGGGTTTCATGGCGTCGCCGACTCGAGAGGTCCTGGGTTCGAATCCCGGTGGGGGCAGATGCTTGTGTGATGAACACGAGCTTTTGTACTCCAGTCATGGATGTTTAATATGTATTTCTATATAAAATATACTTATATATGTAAAGTATATGTATTCTATCCGTTACCCTAGTATCCCATAACACAAGCCTTATAGTGCTTACTTTGCGGCTAGGCTAATTGGTGTGTGTGTTGGAAATATTTATTATTTATCAATGGATGCACTTAATGACGTCAGTAATGGATTTTGTGGGTGGAATGGATGGAAGGAATATAACATCATCATAATTTAATTCTAATAAGATTACCCGCTTGAATTGGAGCGCCCATCTGGGAAAGCAACCTCCACCTTACGGAGACAGTAAAATAACACTACCTTTTGATGCCGTAATGTTTCTGCTGGTGAATATTGTTACAGGGCACCACGGGGTAGGTTGGCGGCCAGATGATGATGGTTGGAGCGGCACACATTCTGTTGCATCATCTATCTTTCAGTTACAGTACAGTTCTCTCGTTCGTACTGTTTTGGAATATGCCTCTTGCGTATGGAATCCACAGTACAAAATTCATAAAGAAAGAATAGAACGAATCCAGCGCCAGTTCACAAAATTTTTGGCATTCAAAAGTCGTAATCGCGTTAATTATGAAAATCGCCTGAAACATTTAAAAATTGACACTCTGGCGAAATGAAGAAAATGTGCCGACATCTTGTTGCTTCATAAATTGGTTAATGGAAATATTAATGTACCTGATATGCTTGCAGAAATTAATTACACAGTTCCAAGAAGAATTCCACGTTTTCCAATCTTGCCATATTTACAAAACCGTTTTTCCGAACCAAGATAGTAGCACCCCTATAAGCCGATTGATGGAGACGTGTAACGATAAATCAGATGACATTGATATCTGTCACCTATCTTTCTTAGCATTGAAAAAGAAAACATTTTCTATTCAGTAACAAATACCTCTATGAGTAATTAACTTACCTCATATAGATATTTGAAGAATAACTTTAGAGACTAATATTGTGCCAAAAAAAAACCGGCCAAGTGCGAGTCGGACTCGCGCACCGAGGGTTCCGTACAAACCTGCAAGGTTTACAAAGTTCGTTCATTACGACAATCGAGTCATAACTATGGTATTTTTAATGCAAAATGAAATTCATAACATTACAATGGGGAAAGATGGAGGAGCATAAATTTAAGACAAAGATCTCTTTATCGTTTAAGTAATCCTTTATTTTATATTAACACATATCGATCTAAGTATTTGATATGAATTTCAACTTGATAGCTCTACGCGTTCATGAGGAAAAAAGTAATCAGTTTATATTTATTAAAAAATATATATTTTGTAATGTAACTAAAAATTTAAGGTTTTCCGAATTTTTCCTTTATGTGTGCTATAAAACGTTGCTTCATGCCAAATTTCAAGATTCTAGGTCGACTGGAAGTACCCTTTAGGTTTTGATTCCCTTGCGAGTACTTGCGAGTTTCAAAATATGCAGCTTAAATTGCTGTTTCTTTTGATTGCGTTGACATAGAAGTTTGATTTTGTTACAGCTTAAAGGTATTATAGACCTGAGTATTTGGTATGAATTTCAATTTAATACCTCTACGCGTTTATGAGGAAATGGGTAGTAAGGTTAAAATTATTAAAAAAAAATATATTATGTGATGTAACTAAAAATTTATGGTTTTCGTAATTTTTCCTTTATCTATGCTATAAGACGTTGCTTGGTACCAAATTTCAAGATTCTGAGTTCACGGGAAGCACCTGTAGGTTTTGATTCCCTTGCAAGTGTCGAAAATTTGCGGCATAAACGGCTGTATCTTTTGATTGCGTTGGCTTAGAAGTTTGATTTTTTCACAGCTTCAAGGGACAGTAGACCTGAGTAATTGATATAAATTTCAGCTTCATACCTCCACGCGTTCCTGAGAAAAAGGGTCTTGACAGACGGACGGACGGACAGACGGACAACAAAGTGATCCTATAAGGGTTCCGTTTTTCCTTTTGAGGTACGGAACCCTAAAAATGAATGGAAATTGCTGTATGCACCTTAAAAATAATTCACATAGACTTGTAATACCCATTTGCTTTTCTTTTTATGTAATAACTAGCTGTTACCCGCGACTTCGTCCGCGTGGAATAGTATCTTTAGGTTAGGTATAGTAGGTATATTTAAAAAAAATAAAAAATATTTGTTTACAGTAGGTATAAGGTACCTATGTATTCCATTGAGTGGCAGAAAGTACCTAGGAAAATTTATTGGTCCCTTATGTCCAAGAGACACTTACAGGGGCCAGTGTCACGTTGTGTACAAAAATATTTTAAAATGACCTAATTTAAACCATTTTTGTACACAACGTTTGCTGTTTTGTTATTATTTGTTAAACTGTGTAGATTGTTTGGACTCGACACTCGCGAGCAGGCCACGTACAGTTGGCCATGCGAAAAACAGTTTTTCTCTAAATTGACACCTGCTACTTTAAGTGTTTGCCCTTGCGCTTTGTTAATAGTCATTGCGAAGGCTGGTTTGAGGGGAAACTGGATTCTTTTAAACTGAAAAGGTAAATCTGTAGGGATCATGGGTATGCGGGGAATCAAAACTTGTTCATCTTTAGCTATTCCTGTCATTATAATTGCTCTAATAATATTGCGTCCTAGCTGCGTAATTTGCAACCGAGTCCCGTTGCATAGTCTCGGCGCTTCGAGATTTCTCATTAACAAAACTGGAACCCCAATTTTCAGTCTCAGCTTATTATATGTGACGGCACTCTCAGGAGCAGCTCTAAAGAGTTTAGAAACTCTGTATGATAAGATGTCACCTGTTCACTGTCCATGACAATATCTACTGACAAATATTCGGCAACATCGCCTTGCACGTGTGACATCATTTGTTCATTGATCTGTCCCACGATTTCATTGGTCGGTGCTAATATTGCCTTTTCACACAGCCACTCTCTATTCCTCATGTTATATTCCAAACCGGGATAGACGTTGTTTTTAAGATCTTCCAAGTTGTGGACAGCATTACAAAATTCTTGATTTATTGTAATCATGCCGTTAGCGTCCGTAGTCATTCGACCTTCACCGATTTTCAATAGAGCAGCTGCATATTGCCCCGATTGCGTATCATTATGTAGATGTACTCGCATGTTTTTAGTGAGACAAAATTTTTTTACATGCACCCATAATGTAGACGCCTTCAAACATGCTTTTATCTCATCTGCTGGAGTGCCTCTGGTAATGTACAGATTGAGATTTATTATCATAAAAAAATCTTTACACCTAAAATTTTTAAATATCATGTTCCTAGGTTCAGTGGTTAAGATTTTGTATACAAAAAGTTTGGCTTCGTAGTTCCCAATCCCATACAAATTTTCAACCCCCTTTTAACCCCTTACAACCCCCTTTTCGCAATAAAAAGTAGCCTATGTCCTTTCTCAGGGTCTAGACCATCTGTATACCAAATTTCATTCAAATCCGTTCAGTAGTTTTGGCGTATATAAATGAGTAACAGACAGACAGACAGACAGAGTTACTTTCGCATTTATAATATTATAGTCCGGATGTGACGCAAGGGGGCCTACACAACATCATTCGGGTCCCAAGCCAACCTCCCCTGCAAGCGGTGCGTATTATTATGTAGTTGTACTCGCATGTTTTTAGTGAGACAAAATTTTTTTACATGCACCCATAATGTAGACGCCTTCAAACATGCTTTTATCTCATCTGCTGGAGTGCCTCTGGTAATGTACAGATTGAGATTTATTATCATAAAAAAACCTTTACACCTAAAACTTTTAAATATCATGTTCCTAGGTTCAGTGGTTAAGATTTTGTATACAAAAAGTTTGGCTTCGTAGTTCCCAATTCCATACAACTTTTCAACCCCCTTTTAACCCCTTACAACCCCCTTTTCGCAATAAAAAGTAGCCTATGTCCTTTCTCAGGGTCTAGACCATCTGTATACCAAATTTCATTCAAATCCGTTCAGTAGTTTTGGCGTGAAAGAGTAACAGACAGACAGAGTTACTTTCGCATTTATAATATTAGTCCGGATTGTGATATTGTTAGTGGTGTGTCAAAAATAAATAAATAAACAAATCTTTGCGACTGGATTCCACTTACAACCTCAGGTGGGACGGGATAATTTATTGAGACTCGTAAAATAAAAGCATGGGTACATAGTTTTATAACTTACTAACTATTTTGGAATAGCTTAGTTCCTCAATGTTTCCAGAGCTCGTTCCAGTGACCTGAGCGTTAGACTTGGCTCGTCATGGAAGACGCACGGTGGCGAGATGTATGACGTGAAGGAGTGTGTGGTGCATCCACGCTACGTCAGCAAGACGAAGGTCAACGACGTGGGGCTGGTGCGGCTGTACTCGCCGCTAAGGTTCTCGGGTCGGGTGCTGCCCATCAAGCTGGTGGCTAGAGAGGCGAGGCTACCCGCAGATGTGCCAGCTATAGTCTCCGGGTGGGGGAAACTAAGGGTAACTGACCTATAGCTCACTATTTTTAACACCTCGTTCACCCCTGGCAGTATTTTCTATCTCTTGAGAAGAGCTAGAAAAAATTCGCTACTGTCGTCGGGGCCGCAGTAGCGTAATGGTCAGTGCATTCGCCCCGATAGCGAAGGGTGCGGGTTCAAGTCCCGTCTGCTGCTTGGTCCGATTGGAATTTTTCTTGTAATATTTTCTTTAGATACAAACATCGAGCAGTAAGTAACAGGCTTAAAAAATTAAAAATTATAAGTATATTTTATTTTACACGGTAACAAATAACATAGAGAAGTTATTTGTTACCAACCTACGATATACTAGAAGGAATAAAAAACATCCATGAAGGTCCGGTTGCTAAATTCTCAATGCTTTCTTCGGCCGGACAGCGAAAGTATCTAGATTGCTCCGTTATCGATTTTTTATCTGGCTCGTTTTTAGGGTTCCGTACCTCCGAAAAACCGAACCACTATAGGATCACTTTGTTGTCCGTCCGTCCGTCCGCCCATCTGTCAAGACCGTTTTTCTCAGGAACGCGTGGAGGTATCAAACTGACATTCATACCTAATACTCATGTCTACTACTGTCCCTTGGAGCTATGAAAAAATATAACTTCAAAGCCAAAGCAATCAATGATACGAAGTAACGTCTTAGTGTCGCCGCACACGGGCCACCGACCACAACCACAAAACGCCGCCACTGGCATATTTCTTGTAGTTTTCATACATTTTATATGGACTCGCCACACACTGTACGCCGGTGGCTGCCACACGCTACAAATCGTCGTTGCTCGCTTCTTGTGGCCCGCACCGGCCACTTAATGCGCTGGCACCGATACAAAACGCCGCCACACGTCACTCGCGCGATTCCCCACCCCTCTCTCCCTTACCTTAGTCGGCCGCTGTCACGCGCTTCAGCCACTTTAGTAGCCGCTTCTTGCTTCTCGTGGCGGCGTTTGTGGTTGTGGCGTGTGGCCCGTGTGCGGTGACACTGATAGTACAGATAAAGGAAAAATTGCGAAAACCGTATATTTTAGTTACATTATAAAATAATAATTATATTATTATATAAAATTGAGGAGCTCGATGGCGCGGGTGGTTACGCGTTCGGCTGCGATCGTCGAAGTTAAGCAACTTTCGCAGTGGTCGGTTATTGGATGGGTGACCAAAAATTATCTATGTCGAGTTCCTCCGTGCTTCGGAAGGCACGTTAAGCCGTTGGTCCCGGCTAGGTCATGGCCCAATCTCCCTATTCCATCCATAGGGAAGGCCTGTGCCCCAGCAGTGGTTGACATTAATAGGCTGATGATGACGACCTCTTTTCTCATGAACGCGTAGAAGTATTAAATTGAGTTTGTACGGAGCCCTCGATGCGCGAGACCGACTCGCACTTGGCCGCTTTTTTAACTTATCAACAAGAAGAGAATATTTTGAAAATTCTTAGGAAAACGGTCCCAGTGCGACGTTCCTGCAATCTTCCACCATAAAGACTATAGCGATGAAACTGTGCAAGCGCTCCGGGCTGGACCGCAGAGCTATAGACCCACCCTCGATGTTCTGCGCTGGCTCATTCGCTCAACCTTCGCCCGATGCTTGTCAGGTAAGAAAAAGCGTATATATATTTTATTTTTTAAGCATGTAACTGCTCGATGTTTAAATCTAAACAAAACAATGCGAAGAGATGGCGCTGCCTTGCAGCTTAAGAAAGACTGGAAAGAATTCAACAAGGACATATAGCCCGAGGAAGCATAATTGGTCAGTGCATTCGCCCGGATAACGCAGGCTGCGGGTTCGAGTCTCGTCTGCTGCCTGGGCCGCGTGGATTATCTTCTAGTAATGTTTTCTTTAGATTTATAAACGTATATTCTCTTTATTCTTTAATCTTGAAATAGTAACAAGAGGATTTTAATACTAATACCAATGATAGATTTATTCTGTCTCATAAGATATTTTAACACTCCTAAATCTAATTTCTTTTATATTAAGGGGGAGACTACTTAGGTCTAAACTGTTTGCCGTTTTTGTCAAACAATTGATTGAGCAAAGTTTTCACAAACAAAACAACTCCTGCCCTTTAGCATGATTTTTCTTCTTTTTCTATTAATTTGACTACTTTTTTTTTTTTTTTTATACCACTAAGGTAGCAAACAAGCATGCGGCCCGCCTGATGGTAAGCGGTTACCGCAGCCTATAGACGTTTGCAACACCAGAGGTGTTACTTCCGCGTTGCCGATCCTGCAAAAACCTTTTTATACCTTTCTTGAAGAACCCCATACTGTAGTCTCTAGGGAACACCGATACAGGAAGCTCGTTTGTTTTTTTTTTTTTTTCTCTACTTGTTTTGTGTTTGATAACAATCCTTCAATTTAAAGTGCTTAACTATCACTTTTATTACAAATATTGTTTACTTACATTGTGTATCGCTAAAATCACATTAGCGCACAAATATGATAATTATGAAATATCGTATTTGTTCGCTCATGCTACGGAAACTGTTCATGTTTACTTGTGCTGCAATTAACATTCGTGATTTATAGCCCCCCTAGGAGACGTCAACTTTAAGAGCCCTTTCACATTTTTTGCAAAAAATCGTAATTTTTGAGCGCACCCTTAGAAAATATTATGACTATTTCCAATAGAAGTATACAGTAGATTTATTCTTCCTATTGTAAGTTAATGTAGAATATTTGCAAATACTATGTTCCTTTTTTTATACTGATCGTTCTACCGCATTTAGTTAACGGAAAAAACGATAATATGCACAACTTCAAACGTCTAATTCTCTAAATAATGTTCAATAAATTAGATCAAATTAATTATTACTACGACATCAGAAATATGTTTTTGTTGTAACATAATCTATTAGAATTTTGATTTTGCATCTCATTAAATGTATACTAAAATATGTATATATTTTTATAATTAGTTCATTAATAATTATTTTATAAGACTTGAAACATCACCCGTAAAATGCAATATATACTAGTGCAAATCTACCTACGCGCCGATCAGTACGACAGCGGCGCAATTTTGTAAAAGGGCTCTTAACAAATGCTTCATTATGTCACGTGCTTCAGAAATTTGTTTCCGCCGTAGATAAGTAAGCATCTTTCTATTCAAGAGCGAATATATTTCCAAAGGGCATAAAATGACACATCTTACTTAATTTTCTGGTGGACAAAGTATGGATATTATTAATGTGTACAATGAACGTATACATATGTATTCGGTAACTTGTCATCTTCATTATGTTCATACATCAGCCGAACTATGCCAACTGCTGAGCATAGGCATCCCCCAAAGAGGAGGGCCTACCCACTGAGCGTCGTTCGGTGCACAATCGTCATTAAAAACCTTTTTCGCCCCAATGGCCATCGGTTCTCCTCGCCACGTGTCCCGTCCATTGCCACTTTAACAAAGCAATAGTTCAAGCGATATCGGTTACTTTATGTCTCCTACGGATTTCCTCATTTCTGATTCTATCGCCTAGGAAAATATCGAGCATCGCTCTCTCCATTGCTCGCTGTATGACCCTGAGCTTTCTTATGAGACTCGCAGTAAAGGACCACGTTTCGCTGCCGTAGGTCATCACTGGCAACACTCAGTGGTCAAAGATTTCGTCTTTCGTCTATAGAAAACACAAACAACCATCCTGAACTCTCTGTAAATTACCACGGCAACAGCGGTGGCCCGATTGTAAGCGACAGCGTGCTGATCGGTATGGTGTCAGCGATATTAAAGCGCCTACTGACATGCCTGCCACAGGGACAATCTAGGGTGTAAGAGTGGGAATGACCCTTTATTGCCTTCTGAATTGTGATGTGTGTAGGCAAGTTGGGACAATTTTATAAATCGGGCCTGCGGCAGGGCGGAAGGAGCGCGAGACCCCCCTTGGTTCCTAGATTGTCCCTGCCGCCCTGCACGTTGCCGCGTGTGTAGCGCGATCGGGGCAATTTATCAATCAGTTGGTTGGTAGCTGTCATATGGAGTGCACGTATTTCGATGAAGATGGCGGCAGATCATAATGAGTATGAAGTTTGGACACGAGTGATCGAAGTATATAAAGACCGGCTCCACATGTGGGATAAAAAAAACAAACATTATTTATATATATTTTTTATTTTGAGTATGTAACTGCTCGATGTTTAAATCTAAAGAAAATATTACTAGAAAAATAGAAATCGTTTCTTTTTATTTTTTTGTTGTAATATTTTCTTGAAATTCATTGAGCAGTTACATGCTTAAAATTTTAAAATTATAACTTTAATTGCTATTTCTTGTTTCAAATGTTTAATACTTGTAACGGTATTAATTTGACATTGTGGGTTACTTATAACGCGAAGAGATGGCGCTGCCTTGCAGCTTAAGAAAGGCTAGAGAGAATTAGATTCGGCCGTCAGGACCGCGGTAGCATAATTGATCAGTGCATTCGCCCGGATAGCGAAGGGTGCGGGTTCGAGTCCCGTCTGCTGCCAGGTCCGCGTGTTTTTTTCTAGTAATATAAACATTACTTATTTACAATACATTTCTTTCTGTTGCCAATTCTTCACCCAGTATTTCCTTTTTTGCGGTAAACTTCATCAACGCGTGTGTTTAATTCAACATACCCGCGAACACTGAATACCCTAGATTGTCACTGCAGCAGGTATATCAGTAGGCGCTTTTACGAACGAATAGAAAACACAAACAACCATTCTGAACCTAAACTATCTGTAAATTACCAGGGCGACAGCGGTGGCCCGATTTTAAGCGACGGCGTGCGGATCAGTATGGTGTCAACTATATTACGAACGAATAGAAAACATAAACAACCGTTCTAAACCTAAACTCTCTGTAAACTACCAGGGGACAGCGGTGGGCCTATAGTAAGCGACGGCGTCACAGTAATGATAATATTACCGTGACGGCGTTCTGATCGGCGTGGAGTCAGCGATATTACGAACGAATAGAAAACAAAAACAACCATCCTAAATCTAAACTCTCTGTGAACTAACAGGGCGACAGCGGTAGGCCGATAGTAAACGACGGCGTTCTGATCGGCGTGGAGTCAGCGATATTACGAACGAATAGAAAACAAAAACAACCATCCTAAATCTAAACTCTCTGTGAACTAACAGGGCGACAGCGGCGGGCCTATAGTAAGCGACGGCGTGCTGATCGGCGTGGTGTCGTGGGGTCTGGGCTGCGCGCGCGGCAACTTCCCCGGGGTGTACACTCGCCTCGCGCACCACGTCGTATGGGACTGGGTGCAGCAACACATTGCGCAGAGGGCCTACAACGTTTCAGACAAAATATAACCTTCCTCTTTTTCGAGGGGAGATAATATAGTTAGTGTGTGATTCAAACTTAATGGCGGTGCTGTAAAGATGAAGCGAGTACATTATGCAACTACGAGTATGTGCATACAGTGTGAGCTTGTGGCGGCTTTAGAAAGATATAAATAAGCCTTTTATTTATATCATCATCATCAGCCTATTAATGTTTCCACTGCTGGGGCACAGGCTGGGGGCAGGATGGATGGAATAGGGAGATTGGGCCATGACCCACCACGCGGGCCCAGTGCGGATTGACGGATGCTAACGACTGCAGATGAAGCCGGGACCAATGGCTTAACGTGCCTTCCGAAGCATCGAGGAACTCGAGAGAGAAGATTTTTGGTCACCCATCCAATGACTGACCACTGCGAAAGTTGCTCAACTGTATCATTGAACTCCTCAATTTATTTATATAGGTGAGTTTAAATAAACCTTCGATATTTTTTATAAGTCGTTCCGGTTACTGTAAATTATTACGTTTGCTTAAATGAGGAGATTTTACTTACTTAGTAATCTTCATTACAACACTTATTCACCAGCAGGGCCCTCATGTCATTGTCATCTAAGTGTCACAAGCAAATATCGTTGGCCAAAAGATGTTTTCATCAACCCACATTTCGATTACTGTGCTGCAACTTGCGCTATCTTCAAAAACGCCATTAAGTTTGAATCACACTTTAAAAACAATTCAACCTGTAATAAATGATAATCTAGAGAATGTTCGAAAGTGATGCACGATTTGAATTAAATGGCGAACACAGTTTTTATAGTCCTTTGTTGTTTTATTATTGAATCGTAAAGTGCACAGGATAGGGTACTTTGTGAAATAACTGACGCACCTCATCTCTTTTGGTGAAATTTTCCAAAAACATTATATGTATGCATTTATTTATGCATCTAATGTTTTTGGCATAAATATTTATAATATATTGTTTAAACTTTCATGGTCACTAACATTATAGTAATATAAGTTATTTACGGGATTGTTACCATGTACCTTGTTTTTACGAGTTTCCGATATTTCGGCACTGTTGCAAGCGCCATGATAACTGAGTAACTGAAGTAATTGCGGGTAGGCTGTTATTGGCAGACATATAATATTTATAATGTTTTTGGGAAAGGCGGTTGCATTAGGTGCATTTGTTACAACCCGATTTTAGGACTAACTAGTTTTTACTAGGTAAAATCAATTCATCCTTCAGGCGATAGGATTACCCGTTACAAACTAGGCTAAACTGATTTGTCCTATGGCCGATAGGAGAAACTAGTTTAGTCTTAGTCTTAGTAGAACGGCGGGCTGTTTCCGCAACTCGACATCTGGTGCCTATTTTGCGTGGGGATTGGCATCAGTCCTGCCATCCCAGCTCCTCCAGAAAGCTCAGCAGTCCCCGAACGTTACTGCAGGCCTCTACTATAGTCTTCGGGCTTCCCATTAGAGAAATCCTTTGTCTTGCAACGCCCGTGCACTCCAGCAGCACATGGGCGCTCGTCTCCTCGTCCTCCAGGCAGGCTCTGCACAGAGGGCTGTCAGAAATACCTATATTACAAAGGTGTTTGTTGAAATAGCCGTGACCCGTGAGTATACCCACGATTTGTTTTAAGACTTGTCTAGGAAGTCTGATTAACTTACGTGTTAGCTGCTGGTTTACCTTGGGAACGGCTTCCCTAGCTTGCCTGCAGTCTGTGAGTTCTGTCCAGTATTCGTTATGTTGTCGTTGACAGCGCTCCCTTATCCATGTTCGCAGCTGTCGATAGGGTATGGGTACAATAGGCTCCAGACCAATGGCCGTCCTGCTAGAACCTTCCCTGGCTAAGCAGTCCGCCGCATCGTTACCCCTTGAGCCGCTGTGTCCTTTAATCCACTGCAAAGTCAATCTATTGTCGTTAGCAATATTAGTCAACTTACAGTGGCATTCATAAATTAAGCCTGATGTCATTATATTGTTGTCCAGTGCCTGTAGGACAGAAGCGCTGTCAGAGAGAATACGAATGTGTTTTCCTCTTACCTTGCGACAATCTATCGCTTCAGCGGCCTTGATGATGCCCACACACTCTGCCTGGAAGACTGTGTTATAGGCTCCCAATGCTGTTGAGATGTGTATATTTAGGTCTTCAGAGAAGACACCCGAACCTGTACCGTAGTTGGTTTTTGAGCCGTCTGTGTAGACCCTCAACTCCTTTTGCAGACAGTGGTCCGGAGTGTCTTCATAAAGTTGAATTTTGTATTTTTTGTCGAATACGTACGTCTTTGGAATGAGGTCGTTTACTGCAGCAAAGTACGGAAAGTACCTGTATATGTCTGCTAAAATGCTGGTGTGTGGGGAGCTGTTGTCCCTCCATAGCCCCAGCATGCTTAGTCGTGTGGCTGTACAAGCAGCTTCCTGTTGTATAAACAAATGTAGTGGTCTCACGTCAAGTATAGTCTCCAGTGCTGATGTGGGAGTGGTTTTCATGCAGCCAGTGATTGCACAGCAGGCCCGCCTCTGGAGACGTCTTAACTTATTAATTGTCGTTACCTGGTTTGTCTTTGTCCACCATACTACTGCTGCATAGCTGATGATGGGCCTAATTAAGGTCGTGTACAGCCACCTAACAATGAGCGGTGATAGTCCCCAGGTTTTGCTAATCATTTTGCGGCATTGCCAGAAAATGATGTTGGTCTTAGTAGTAGTTTTGTCTATGTGTGAACCCCAGTTCAGTTTGGAATCTAGGGTTATTCCTAGATACTTTACCTCGTTGGAGAGCCTTAGTGTCGTGTTAAATAGTTTCGGTAGCCGATAGTCGCCTAAGGCTCTTTTATTCGTGAACATGACTAATTCTGTCTTCACTGGATTCACCTTAAGGCCGTAGTCGTCACACCATTTTTCAACTACCTTCATTGCCCCCCGTGCAATGTCACAAGCGGTGCTCGCAAACTTACCCGGGATTAGGATTGCCAGGTCATCCGCATAGCCCACCGTGTGGAAGTGAAGGTTGTTTAGTTTGGTAATTAAGTCGTTTACGACTACATTCCATAGCAGAGGCGATAGTACTCCTCCTTGAGGACATCCTTTAGTCGCCAATGCTCTGAGATGGTTGTCGTCTTGTAGTCTGATTAGTCTGTTACGGAGCATGTTACTTACCCAGTATATAATGTTCTCATCGACTCCGTGTTTGCCAAGTGCGTTTACAATACTGGCGAAGCTTGTTTTGTCAAACGCGCCTTCTATGTCTATAAAGGTGCCCAGACATAGCTCTTTTCGTCTGAGACTATCCTCTATTTTACTTACGACTGCATGTAGTGCAGATTCTGTCGACTTGCCTGGACAATAGGCGTGTTGGTTTAGATGTAGTGGAAAGCTGGTTAATTGGTTATCTCTCAGCTCTCTGTCACACAGTCTTTCTAAGGTTTTTAGCAGAAATGATGAGAGACTTATTGGCCTGAAAGATTTCGCTTCGTTGTAGTCGGCCTTACCTGGCTTTGGTATGAAGATTACCTTGACCTCCCTCCAAGGCTTCGGCGTGTATCTGAATGCAAGACACGCTCTCAGGAGGGGCACCAGGATAAGGATTAGCGCTTCACCTGCCCATTGAAGCAGCGCCGGAAAGATGCCATCTGGTCCGGCTGCTTTAAATGGCTGGAAGCTGTTAATGGCCCACCTTAACTTGTCCATGGACACTGTCCTCATTGCAGTGTTCCAGGATTGTTCCGTGGGGGTCCAGCAAGTGTCATTCCAGGTGTGTGTCGTGTCTATGATGCAGCCTGGAAAGTGGGTTTCGAGCAGTACCCTCTGTGCCTCCTCCACTGTCTCTGTGAGGGAGCCATCAACTTTCCTGAGCTGTGAAAGGTCTTGTTGTCTGTCTTTGGAAAGCAGTTTCCTTACCTTATTTGCCTTGGTGCATGAGTCTATTTCAGAACAAAATTTCCTCCAAGACCCATTGCTCCAGTATCGGATGCGTTTTTTATAAAGAGCCTTGGCATCTTTATACGCATCCCAGTCTTGGTCGTCACATGTGTTCATGGCCCTGTTAAAAAGTCTTCTTACCTTTTTCCTCAGTTTGTATAGCTCGGGGCCCCACCACGACTGGCTGGCATCCGAGTTGGATGATGGTGTACTGAGAGGACAGGCTGTCTGATAGCATGAGATAATTACCCTTGTTAATTCCTCAGCTGTTTCGTCTATCTTATTGGTTTCGTCTAAGCTTTCAGCCTGCATATGTTGCAGTGATAGTGTTACCTGTCTGCGATATTGGCTTCTATTCGTTTTCTTGGGTATGCGTCTTGGTGACTGGGTAACACGCTGTACCGCGATGTTGAACCTAATCCACCTGTGGTCAGAGCAGGATGTCTCTGGGGAGACGTGCCAGTCAGAGATCAATCCCGCTGCTCTCCTTGATGCAAGAGTAAGATCGATGATAGATCTACCTCTTCTTGTTACGAAAGTAGGTTCAGAACCTGTGTTTATTATGTTAAGGTTTGTGGTAAATAGGTAATCTACTAATTCTACTTTAACCGAGAAACTAGTTTAACCTAGGCTGAACTAGTTGAGCCTAATACGAATAAGTACACTTCAGGCTATATAATTGCTATTTCTTCTTATAAATGTTTGTTCCTTGTAAAGGTTTTGTTACATTTGAAATTGTGGGTTACCTGCAATGCGAAAAGATCGCGGTAGCATAATTGGTCAGTACATCCGCCCGGATAGCCGAGGGTGCAGGTTCGAGTCCCGTTTGCTTCCTGGGCCATGTGAAAGTTTGCCTAGTAAAATTCTTTAGATTTAAACATCTAACATCAGTTTAATGGTAAAAAAATAAAATTATAATAAATTGGAATTGCAATTTCTTCCTTCTATTTATTGGATTTGTTTCATATTAAAATAATAAATATAAATATAATTTACTAGAAAGAGCAAGGATTGTACATTTTTATGGATTTAACTACTAGATGTTAAAATCTTAAGAAAATTGTACTAGGAAAAATCCACGCGGTTCACTGACCTTTATGCTACCACGGCCCTATAATGGTCAGTGCATCCGTTCGGGTAGCGGAGAGTGTGTGTTCGAGTCCCGTCTGCTGCCTGGTCCGCGAGTATTTTTTCTAGTATAATTTTCTTAGATTTAAAAAGCTAGGATATTTAAGCATTAATCCAAAAAATATGTTGAAATTGTATTTTAAATTAGCTATTAGATAATATAACCTAATTATATTATAGGTATACGAGTTATTGCAAAATAAAAAGTTGAATAGCAATTGAAATATTTATTATTCAAATTATAACGAAAACTACCCTTTCACAAATTACGAGCTATTGCTAATAAATTCAAATAAAAGACATTAATTTCCAAAAAAATAGTCCAAGACTTGTAGGTAATACATTTTTATGTTAAAAGTTTTATCATCGCGTGCGTTTCACTAAACGACTGGACATTACAAACATTTGACAAAGTAGACGAGTATTTCATGCATTGCAAATGAGATTGGGAATAGGAACGAATGAAAAACGTTTAAATAAACTTAAGTTAGGTACCCTGTGCGTCTTCTTAACAATTATATGTATGTTACGTATAAGAATTTATTTAAACTTAATTGCAACATTATCTCTATGCGTTGTTAATATCCTAGGATGATTTCATATAACGAATTTCCCGAAAATCCTAAGGTTTTTTTGAGAAGAAGGATAATTAGACGATAGCGATGAAATTTCTCAATTTTGCTCAATAAAGATAAGATTTTTAAGAAAAGTCAACTCTCCTCAGTGAGATTGCGAAAAGAATCGTTAACTTATTATAAATATTCTTGAGTTTTGGGTACTTGAATTCACACTAGGTTAAGTTAGTGTTGTGACCGTGCCACGGCGAAGTGGCAAAACAAGTTTTCGTTATCAGTAAGATTTGGCAATGTAATAGCCATTATGAAACCGCGTCTTTGCAAAAGTCCTAGGATTGTTGCCAAAATCGTTTTGTCAAATCATCCTGCGACGTCATTATTTTGATATCTATATGCAATATTTAGTTCAAAACAAAACACGAATTAAAACAATCCCTATTCTTTACAACAAATAGCAATATTTATCTTATTAAGCACTCTAATAAATACATCTAAGTGCTTCCTAAAATATTGTGTACTAAATTTTAATTGTCACTAGAATAACGAATTGCTTAACAACAAATTGAAACTTAACGGGTTGGTATTTACAAACAATTAGCATCAGTAACAAAAGGTAACAATGAAATAATACCAACATTTCTATCTAAATTGCCCAAGTCAACATTGATAAGTTGCAAAAAAATATATACAATTTTATTTAGTGACAGGAGACTCTTTTGTTGCTGAAATGCTGTTATGCGCAACAATTGGTGCTGAATTAATTAAATAATAAATAACGTACATATTTACAGAGTAAGTAGGCTTATAGGTAGATACTCAAAATGTACATTTACAAAAGTATTAATAATTTATGAATATTATATACATATTGACTATATACACAGCTTACATGCTATAGTTTTCTTGTATACTTATAAATGCATTAGATATTAAATTGAGGCAAAAATATGTGAAATTTCAACTAAAGCGAGAGGGGCAAAAGGCTACTCCGGCCATTTATAACCGCATCGGTCCGCAACGGATAATTCGAATAACATAAATAAAGTATTTTTTTATTATAATTTATCTAAATTAATTCGAAATTTCTTGAAACTTCACAATTTCACACAACCATTAGGCAGGCTACTATGATTAAACAATGCAAATTCCTTTTTTGCTTTAATTACCTTTTTTCATTATTTTGTAGTCAATCCACAGCCATCTATTTTCATAATAAATTTATTTAAAATCACTGTTAAGATATTACTTAGTCGTGTAAGATAATGTTATCGATATTGCACCATTTGGATAACATTCACTTCTGTTTCTAAGATTACGCCAAAAAATAGATAATAGGACGTACAACAAAAAATAGACAATATAATTAGATGACAAAAACAAAAGCAATAATTATGGTAATTTGTAATACTGATTACCTTAAATTAATTTAAAACACAGACACGATATCACGAATTAGCAAGTCCTATGTCAGAATAGTCCGACAATTACTGAGATTAACACAAGGCCGGGAACACAGTTCGCTCGGCCTTGCGAGGCCTAGGTCTTCTTCCCCTGCTGCGGCCTCCGAAGCAAGTGCAGCGGGTCCTTCCTGTATCTCGCGAACAACTCGCGTTTGAACGTTTCGAAGTGTTTCCTGTTCTTCTCGTTCTGTTTCTCCCGCCATAAGGGTCGGTTCCTTCTAGCTTGCAGGCCCCAATGGATCGTGAATATCGGCGAGAGAACCCTGAATTGGTACCCGATCAGGTACATTTCGTACACCTGAAAGAAGAAGTCGATTTTAAAAAAGAACAAATATTGTTTTTCGTGCACCTGATGAAACGCTTCGGAAAGAAAAAGGAAAACTCAAAACCATTTTGTAAGTTTAGTGGCTTTACTTAGGTGTTGATATTATATTTAATGTATATGTGTATCTAATATTATGCATCAATACTCGCAATTCAGTGTTATTTATATAACGTGACATATATACAGGTGCATCTGCAAACTGCTGTTTAAATATTTTTCTCGGAAATTGTGTTCATCCCTCCAAAATCAACTTGATAATAATTTGTCTCAGTGACTGTAGTTGTTTTTAAATAAAACTAAAAAAATTCAAAATATCTCTTTATTTTACAAAATTTATTAGTAAAAAATAAATAAAAACAATTAAAACTAATAAATTAATCTGAAAATAATCACAATCAGGGAATGTAATATACAATCAATTAATTGCAAGTTTGGTGTCTTTATGTCTTTATTCAAAGGATGGCTTTATTTAATATAAACATTTAAGTAGGTATAACTTAAGTCTGCTAATATAAATAAATTCAATATAATTAGGTACATACATTTATATTACAAACTTTTGATAAATACAACCTAATGACACAGTACAGTAATATTTAAGAACGTCTTGATTTAACAAAAAACTATTGCCATGAAGTACTATTCATTTAATTTCTAGTCATATAAACTTCATAGGAACAGTGAGAGTCAATTTAATTTAGTGTTTCACACAAAAAATTAAGAACAAATGAAAAAATATTATCATCAATTTGTGTCATGAAAATTGAAACTTTTAAAATTCCTTCTTTCTAAAAGCTATGCTCGACCTATTTTACAATTGAAAAATGGTATATTTTTTATTTCATCTACGAAGGTTTATCTGTATCATATTCCGGTGTTTTGTGCGATCCAATCTCTCATTGCGGCGATGTTAGTGAACACGGTGGGTGATAGCGGCAAAGCGCAGCCTCTTGCAAACGACACCACACCGAAAGCTGTCCCTCTGAACACCGCGGGTCCGCCCGAGTCACCCTGTGGCATGCAAAAACAATATATTTCAATAAGTGAGGTTTCATGAGGAGCATGATGGCGCAAGTGGTTAGCGCGTTCGGCTGCAATCGTTGAAGTTAAGCAACTTTCGCAGTGGTCGGTCATTGGATGAGTGACCAAGACTTTATCATCTCGAGCTGCTTCGTGCTTTTGAAAGCATGTTAAGTCATTGGTCCCGGCTGCATCTGCAGTCGTTAGCACCCACCAATCCGCACTGGACCTGCGTGGTGAGTCATGGCGCAATCTTCCTTTTCCATCCACAGAGAAAGCCTGCGTCCCAGCAGTGGGGACGTTAATAGGCTGATAATGAAGCATAGCATAACAATATGCTTCGAAAGACACGCTCAATAGGCAAGTACCCAGATGGACTGAGGTTTTATTAAAGGCCGCGGAAGCGATTGGTTCAGGTCCGATCAGCGTGGATATCTTTAGGGAAGGCCTATGCTTAACCATAGACTTGGTATTTAAAGACTGACAAGTGAGAAAAAGAGATATCATGCCCTAACGATAAACCTATAAGGTAGAAAGAGACGCAACATGATGTAACTTTGTTCCAATAAAGTAAGAGCCAACAGCGTCCTGCCAAGCCGTACTGTGATAAAGTTTATTGGGAAATTCTGTGAAACTAAGAAACAGTTGTGCTTATACAATTCAGTTGGTGTTATGGTATCCTGTGTTTAAAGCATATCTTGACAAAAGGACACTATCACTCCCAATCAAACACCTATACGCACATATGCACAATTCAATTATTGAAACACCTGCAATAGGTACTCTGTCTGTCTGTACATCCTATATCTATGTGCTTAACAGTAGTAAATGATAATGATGATAGTCTGTAGACGCTTGCGATGGCAAACTTATCTTATGCTATCCTATATCCCTCATGGTATCCCGTAAGATAAATAACCTACCGTAACCCTCTACCCCGTGGACTTAAGGAAACTTTACTCATCGACAGAACACACTACCACCAAATGGTAGTTTTTTACAGACTCTTCAGTCGGCGCTCCAATTCAATCCACAAATTCGCCTTATCCTACCTCGCTTTATTATGTTATCAAGGCAATCAGAAATAATAATGCAAACTATTTAAGAAAATAGGGAAAGATTTGTGTCTCTGTATGGAACTGAGAATCAGAAGAAGTTCGACTTGTGTATTAGGTTTCCAATAGTGGAAGTCAATCAATTGTCGCAATTGTCATTCACATGGTGGGTGACCAAAAATGTATTATCTCTAGCTTTTCTGAGCTTTAGGGGACACATTAACCCTTTGATCTCGGGTGCATCTGTAGCACGCACCAATCCGCCCCAAACCCGCGTGGTAGCCCATTCTCCACATAACATCCATAGAAGTCCCAGCAGTGGAGACATTAATAAGTCTTTGATGGTGAAAGATATACATTAATACCTAATAATGGCATTCTAACAAATAAATGATTGAGGAGAAGAGGAGTAGGAGAAGAGTTGAGCTTTTAACAGATCGAGATCGTTTAACCATAATATTATTCACCTGGCAAGAAGACACGCCGCCGATTAGGAAGTGACCTCCGCAGAACATGTTGTTGGTGAGCGCGTCGCCGTAGGACAGCTGGCAGAGCCAGTGCGGCACCACGGGCACGCGCGCCTCCATCATGATGCGCGGGATGCGCCGCCCACGCGGCTGTGGACAACCCAACGTGTCAATACACGCAAACGACGTGCAGAATACAAATTTGTAGCATGCATTCCCGATCATAAAACCAAATATTAACAGTGTTACGGTGGAGATTTCTTTTCCCCTCGTTTACACCAAGAAACATGTCATATACTAGTTTTACATAAAGGAGCTCGATGGAGCAAGTGGTTAGCGCGTTCGGCTGCGATCGTTGAAGTTAAGCTACTTTCGCAGTGTTCGGTCATCGGATTTGACGACCTCCGTGGCCGAGTGATTTGTACACCGGGGTTCATGGTGTCGCCGACTTGAGAGGTCCTGGGTTCAAATCCCGGTGGGGGCAGATGTTTGTGTGATGAATACGATCATTTGTACTCCAGTCATGGATGTTTAATATGTATTTTCTAGATAAATATACTTATATATGTACAGTATATGTATTCTATCCGTTACCCTAGTATCCCATAATACAAGCCTTATAGTGCTTACTTTGGGGCTAGGCTAATTGGTGTGAGTGTTGGAAATATTATTATTGTTATCGGATGGATGACCAAAAATTTACTATCTCGAGCTCCTCCGTGCTTCGGAAAGCACGTTAAGCAGTTGGTCCCGGCTGCATCCGCAGTCGTTAGCATCCGCCAATCCCGCGTGTTGGGTCATGGTCCAATCTCCCTATTCCATCCATAGGGAAGGCCTGTCAGCAGTGGTGACTGAACTTTGAAAGTGTTACGGTGTGCTGGTTGGAAAATCATTTCTCCACTATAACACTGGTGTTAATGTGTGGCTTCCTATTTCACCCGTAGGGAAGGTCTTCTTCACGTGCCCCAGCAGTGGGGGCATTAATAGGCTAATGATGATATGTTTGGTGTGACGGTGGGGAACGTGGGATTCGTAGCTGGCGCATAGCAAGATCTCATTTCTTTGTTTAGGTATTGTAACAATCGTGAATGACATTATATGAAAATTCTTAAAAGGTCAAAGGAAATTTAATTTAATTTAATTTTGAGAATCGTATTTGACCAGTGCTATGTGCTCTGCTTAATTTTAACAAATAACCATCATTGTTCGAGTCGGTAAGCTGAAGTTTATCTCACCAAAACCCATTAGAAATAATAATTAGCAAATTCAAAATTTAAAAGATATTGTTCAAATTCTGCATAGGTGTTTGGGATTTACAAATTCAGAAATAAAAATCAGTTTTGATGTGATTGCTGCTATTTGTTTTCAATTCTGAAAACAAGAGATGCTTTTATAACTCTTAAAGGTGGCTTTTATTTTCTGTTACATAAGAATTTTATACCTAGTACAAAGACTTTACGAATGTCTGTAAATTTATTGTCAATAAAGCTAACTTTATTCTTATCGTCGTAAAACAGTACAGGGGTAACGAATTTTATGTCGTTGGTAACCTATAACATTTAGAGCACCGGGAGTCACGAAGATTGGTAGATTTTTTTATTGTTCTGACTTATTATCTATATTTTTCTAATACAAACACTTTATTTTTCACTATTTTTACTAAACATTGAACTATAGAGAGACATTATCAAATATAGGCTTATCGCAGTCCGCTGCTGGACATACGGCATAGAGACATTTTATCGCGTATTTATTTTGTCACGTATGTTTTTTGGAATTACGGTCGTACAGAGTCAATGGAGCCTAGAACAAACCCATTCACTAAGACAAATAGAAGAATCTAGCACTTACTGTAAGCTACTAGACTGCAGAACCTGACGAGATACTAGTTAGAGGTTGCTTACTGTAAGGCCCCATCCTATATTCCTGACGGCTAGTCCAGCCACTATAAACCTTAACCCACATTCATTCGCTAAAACTACAAAAGAATCTGCAATCAGTCTCTTACCAAAACCAGTGAGCGAGCGAGGCGAGATGAACAAGCCAAGACTACGGCCCTGATTACACTATTAATGGTCAACCGCAGTCAATCCTAGGGTTAAGTTATTAACTGAACTGTAGAAGAATCACTCACTGCATTAAGTCCCCATCCGGTGACAGTAAGCCTGAAGGGTGGCATAGACTGTCAGTTATGAGGCAAAGCTATGATCTTGAAGGGATTGCTGCAGATCAGGGGCTGGGCAAGCCGCAGCACCGCGATGTCGTTTTCAACTTGAGGCTGCTCATATCGCTCGTGGACGGATACGTTGGCAACGGCTCTGTTATTTATCCCTATTTTTAAGGTCACTCTCGTAGAATATATATATTCACTGAAATATAGTAGAAACACTTACTGTTATAAGTTCCCTCCGGTGACAGTTAACCTAACAAACAGCACAGGCTGTCGGTTACGAGGCAACGCTATGGGCCTGATAGCATTGCTGGAGATCAACGGCTGGATGAAGCCGATCGCTCGTGGACGTATTCGTTGATCACGGCTCTGATATCACAATTTTAAGGTCCCCCGCTCTCAATCCAAGACTAAAGCTATTCACTCAACTATAGAAGAATCACTTACTGCAGTAAGTCCCCATCCGGTGACAGTAAGCCTGACGAGTGGCACAGGCTGTCGATTACGAGGCAACGCTATGGCCCTGATGGCGTTGCTGAAGGTGAGGGGTTGAGCGAGCCGCAGCGCCGCGATGTCGTTGTCGAACTGTGGCTGTCCGTATCGCTCGTGAACGGATACGTTGGCCACGCGCACTATCCGCCCGCCTGAATCACGCCGCGTGCTACCCACTCGCAGACGTATTGCGCTTGGGGCTACACTACGAACAATATCGGAAACTTATTGTAAAAAATCTGAAAACCAATCTTTGCTATTTTAAAATAAAATACTGTTTGATGACAATCTTCTCAAAATGCAGATGAATGAAGAAAGATACTTTGATTGTAGTAGAACAGCAAAAGCTTATTTTAAGATATATATATCTTAATTAGTATAAAATATGTAGTTCAGCCTTTGAAATAAGCAAGCTCTTATCAATTAAACAAAATGATTAGATAGATACAGGACAAGGAACCCGTAAAATTTCATAGTCAGGGTGACTGATATAAAATCCCAAGTGATTCCAATATCATTTAATTTATGTGAAAAAACAAGCCTATGGCCCTCCTGGCAAACTTTTACCCCATCCCCAACTCCATGGAGCTCTGGAAATATAGAGAAACGTGAAAACTTAACCTTAGAAATTATTGCACCTATCGATAATTTAGCTGCAACCTCCACTTTACTAAAAGTCTACCAAACAAAAGATTTTCGATTGCTTCCCCAGACGGGCGTTCTATTATGACTTAATTCGATTAGAAAACGCGTCATGACCTACCTCTGTGATATAAAGTAAAATGCTTAATATAAAAATTCTATTATCCACCCGATTTCAAGAACTTTCTAGTGGCTATGTCGGCCTCTAGGTCATGGCTCTAATCTTGAACTCAGCTGAGTTAAACACTGAGTCAAACTGTAGCAAATACGCCGATTGGCCCCTTTGCATCTTTCACCTTGAAGTTATTGATGACATATACTATGGGTAACAAATGGCTAATAACTCACTAGCAATTATTTTAACCACCATCAACAAATCGAAAAATGAAATGGGAATGCTAGCTCACAAATTGCGTCCAGCGAGTTAAGCGAGCGTTAAGGATGCAATTTTGTGAGCTAGAATTCCCAATTCATTCACTACTTATGTCAATACATCATATGATTACGCAGGACTGCAGACAGAAAAAAAACCGTTATTGATTCGGGGAGTATCAAGATATATGGGTGGTAATAGGCTCATAATGCTCCTTCAGCATTTTTGTGGTAATTTTAGTTTTAGACTATCGTTAATGCCCATAACAAAAGAAACCGAGAATGACTGGTCAATAAGTAATTTTGATTATTATTAATAGTATTTTCTTTCTTTACCCTAAAATCTCAGTATTCCTGACAACGAAATTGATATCTATCAATGAAATGTTATTGAGATTTTATCGGTATTACCACAGTTTTAGAATCCAGTAAAAGTAGTGTTTCTTTATCATCATCGCAAGGTTATACGACATAAAGTGAGGTACGCGAGGCAATATATAAAGATACCAATTTATTGCTTTTTCAGGCCAGATAAAAAATATTTAATAAAATTGTTTTTTTTTTTTTATACATTTGCTCCGTAGAAGAGTGGTCTAAAGGGGCGATAAAAAGAGGTTTATAGCGTCTGGCCAAGGTTTTATTCGGCCTCGTAAACTTTAGGGCCCCACTAACCTCCTAGCTGACGAAAATGGAACACGGCTGCGGTATTCTTTAGAATATTTAACCTGCGTGTAGACATAAAGGTTCCCTTTATTATAATGTTATGTGGGACGACTTGATGTTGCCCTTTGAGTAGTCATGTTACTTTGGACGTTATGATATCACATAATAATATGGTCAGTACATAGGTTTAACGAATTATTTTGTATTTTCTATCTTTTGTATCTATTCAAATATTCAAAATATTATGTTTCCGTTCTATCATTTTATTTAGACTTGATTTGACACAGATTCCACTTCTATTTCTAAGTAAGTTCTAAGAAAAACTAGTTTTATTTAATGAGTGATGTGCGTGAAAACCTAAGAAACAAATATATCTTTTTCTCATTAAGTTTAATTTATTTATTTATTTATTAAGTGAAATAAATCATAAATTTCAAGGCAACTGCAGATGATCTATCATAATCAAATTGAAAACCAAAAGCATACGTGTTATATGATCAAAATAGTTTAAAAGAGAGCTTCCTTACTTGGCCACGCAGTGCGCCGCAGTCAGCACGTGATTCTGACTGATGATAAAACCGCCGCAGAAGGAGTTTCCGTTTAGCACCATCGACACCTGGTAGGGGTGCCGGACAACCGAGCTCGGCCTGCCACCGATGATCTGCTCGCTCAGCTCGGGACACGCCGCCTGCAACTCCAGCAAATCTTGGAACTCTCCTTGCTCGCCTTCAACATTTTGCGTGTTTTCTGGTGCTGCTTGGGCATTGTCTGAACAACATTCTGCTTCCACCGCTTCCTGGAGATCTAAAACAGTTCAAATTTTTAGCTAACTCGAAAGGAAATGGCGATCACTAAATAGATTGATGTCTACTCATGCACCCAACTGTTAAGTGGTGATTTTCTAATACAGATAGGTATTAAAACCTGTCAAGCGAAAGAGTAGTCCAATATCTGGGTACGGGCTAAACTAGAAGTTTTATTTGAATAAAAGTCTACCCAATGTTCTTCTGTAATAATGAATATTTATTTTTAAATATACTTTCTCTGCAGCAGATTTGGCATATTGCCTGGCATTTTTGTGACATATAGGGGTTTCAACTACAATGTGTTTTGATGACAAATGTAATTAGTACTACAAAAATAGTCATTTTTAGATAATTTTATGTCTAGTATTTTAATAGAATTTACATCAAGTACCGAATAAAATTGTTGTTTGAATTCTAAAATTATGTAATAAAGTCTTAGCGATAAGTCCTCTGACAATCCCGATATTGCCATGCTCTTGCAGAGCTTAACATGTATACTTAGAATAAGTAGTCATAAATTTACCATCTTAAATGTGATGTAAAATGCAATTATTGAAAAAGACAACGCGTTCAAACAAACCCAGGAAATCTTATAATATACAAAATTATCCGTTTCATTAAAAACTCAGTATCACCAACAAATAATTGGGAAACAACGTTAAATCAGTTAGAATCTTTTGACATCTTTATTGCGATATTCTTTTTTTTTATTTGACAAATGACCACAACAATAATTGGTCACGAAAATTCTGAAAATGCTTCTTTTAAAGTAAACCTTGAAATAACAAAAGGAGAATTAATAGTACGCTTAGTTAGTCTGAAAACACAGTAATCTTAAAGTTTCAATGCCAATGATTTTCTCTGCTCTTTAGTTTTGTATTGGCTAATTGCGTCGATTTAGCAGGCAAGTGCAACAATTTAATTGAACTAAATGTGTTTGACTTCTCGCTTAATTCATAATTATAATGTTAATTTTACACTTGTTAAAACAAGAAAACTGTACTATTATCATATTTCCACAGTCAGATTAAAACTGTCCATTTAACAACCTATAAATTAGTAGGTAACCACAAAATTGATATTAAGATGCTTATTGAACCAGGCACTTTATTGCTAATCGCTTTGCATGTTCGCTATTTGGATTAATTCGTAATTTAAGACTTAATTAATAAAATAGTATATGAGACTCAAAAAACATTACATACCTAATTTGCTTTGGCTAATTGTATAAGAATGGATATTTCTCATTTGTTTTAGAAATGGATATTGCCAATATTTAAAAAAATGACTCAATAAAAAATCTTCAATGGTTGTAGGAAGAAATGATGTCATTATTATTCTCACTTATTAACGCAAATAAATTATTAAACAGAAACTAAGGTACAGAAATTAATAAACCGGGACTCGAAATACATATAGCAAAAGGGCTAACTTAATAAATACATATACAAACATAGCTTTAAGCTTTACGTGTTGCGTACGCCAACAAGCCACACACATAAGTACGACGGCTTTTACTAGCTTCAGGTTCATGAATTGTGAACTGAAAAATGTTCTTTAATTATATTGTTTTCATGACGCACATAACTATTGGGGTATAATCTGATTTTGTACATGTTCTCGTGACTTTTTACATAATGTTTATTTTCTTTTGTTAATCATATGAGAGAGTTTGGACTTTTTTTTGTGAAATTAACGATCGTACAAAATCAATAAGCACACACGATTACACTTTTCTACTAACACCTATTCACTGCTTCTGTCTGTCTGCTTCTTTGAAATGATTATCAAAAACTGCTGAACGGATTTTCATACGATATTTATCAGTTATATATAAATTTTTAGCTGAAGTTTTATTATATAAGCCGAAAACGAGAACGAAAACTATTGTTTATACATCGATTCGAGGACAACACTAGGGAAGTATATAAAGAAAATATTAAGTACCTACAGAACAGAAAGGTCACCAAAGGAGGATGTGAAAAATACGCAAAACGAAAATGTAGTCACGATAAATTCCCCCTGGGTGGATTTTCACGCCGGGAATAAATGTAACAACCCATTTCAACTGTACACCGAAACAAACATTTATAAACAGAAACATCTCCAGAATGTGCCGTAACGTTGTGTTTACCTACGTTCGTGTCGTGTGCACGATCATAATATACGAAATCCACAACATTCTAACCAACAGCTGATATAAAAATACTTAGAACACAATGGCAGATAATATCATGTGTTTGATCCGTTGCCAAATTTAAGAGCTGCAGTTTATGCACATTGTTGCACGGTAGACCCAATGGCATTTGTACTAACTAATATTACCCGAAGCGGCAGTATGTTTATTTTGATGTCCGTTATCACATACCTGCTTTAGTTTAAAGATTGTTAAGTTGAATTTGAAGAGCACTACTTAAGCATATATTGAGATAAAATAATGTTACTTTGAATTGCAGTAAAAAACCTACATAACGATACGTAATTTTTGTTTGAATCTACCATATTATTTAAGGACAAAATGAAAATTTTCAAAGTAATAAACATCATAGCTATAATGATTTTCAGTTAGGCTTGCCTTTCAATCAAATATCTTTACGCTGCAGTAAGAGCTAGATAAGCTAAACAATTAATCTATTCACCCTATCGCACTGTTAATTTGATTGAATCAGCTGAAAGTCAGCGTTGTGGCTAATGCTGCAACATAGTCATCCTGATTTAGTCAACCTTTCGGCTGTTTATTAATTAATGTTAATACCTATTTCTATGATGGATGCAACACCAAATAAGTATAGTTCTTTACTAAACTGTTTTGGAAAATTGTCTATAAGAAATATCCATATTCAATTTCGATTGCAGAGAAAAACAGGCAGGCTCATCGCATAGATAGTAAAAAGTACTCACCCCCTTTAGTCAGCAGCGTGAGAATCAACAGCAGTTTCAACCACTCCATAGCGGGTGCACCGGCGCAGACAATCAAACCAACAGCCACCGGCAGGCGCTGCGCGAGGCCCTACCTCAGGTTGCTCAACCTGACCGCGATAGGAAATCTCACGCCCCGACTAAGGTCGCGACCTTTCAGCTAACTCCACCAACGATTAGTGAAAACCAATTAAAACATGTGACATAATTAAACACAAATCACCAAATTGATGTTTTCCAGAATCTTCTTTTACACCACCTGTTAACTTCTTCACGATCACTAAGGGTTATTTTGAATTTGATGAGGCAACTTATTTATTGCTCTATGTCAAACAACAGTTCCTCGAAGAATAAGTATATACAAAGTGCAATTACAAATAGAGTTGACTTAAATTGCGAAAAAAATAAAGTTCTTTTTTTTATCTTCACGTTAAAATGAAGATTAACAACGAAACTACCCGCAATATTATATCAACGCGTATTTCAAATCAATAAATATTTTTTATTTCAGCTACCCCTGCCACCGTCTTAGCGTAATCAAAAAATCAATCTTAACATCTTCAGAGGTGGTATTTTATTTACTTGTTCCATTGTCGTTTTCGTCATATTGAAGCGCATGCTAAGCGAAGAAATCGATTTGCTCGCCTATCGGGTCATTGTCAATGCTCTAATGGACAACAAATTATACACGACCGTCAATGTATCTGGTTAGTTAACTAATAAATACAAATTTACTATGAACACCATTTTCTAATTTCGCAAGTTGCATCCGACAGTGCAACGAGGCTGCACTTGGGCATATTGTAAAATAAATGTTTTAGTTTCGATGGTTGAATTTCAGAAATTTAACGTAATAAACTAGTGTTATTATTAATGCTTATAAATTTTTGTTTATGTATTCATTGATGCCTAAGTAATAAAAATATAATATACTTAAAACTACATTGATTATAAAAAGTTAAGGTCTCAGTGTTCACCCCTGCGGTACCCTTAAAATAAAATAGCAACGTCCGATCAGTGCTATTGTATAAGCGTATGTGACAACACACAGACGACATTTTGACGGTATCATTGAGAGAGATGTGCTATTTTGAGTTCACTGCTAGCATGCTCAAAATATCGCCCAGCGCAAATGTTCTGTTGCTCCGGAAGCCAGTCATCTTTCATTATTTCGCAAGGATTCCGTATCACTTTCGTAACATGAGAAAAGATAATAACATTCACATAAACAGCGAGTTTTTTGAGATTATGAAGGATTTTTTACAGCAAAACATCCAAGGTAAGAAAAATAATATGAAGAACTATTCAAAACAGTTTACTAAAGTTTATTTTGACAAAATTAAATAAGAAAGGTAATTTTTATACCACGACTCCGTACTTGGCTCACGCGGTGGGTCATGGCCTAGTCTCCCTATTCCATCTATAGGGAAGGCCTTTACCCCTGCAGTGGGGTCATTAATATGCTGATGATAATGATGATAAATGTCTATACCGACGTAGTGATTAAATATGGTAAGCACAATAATAGATGTCTAATTCATTGATCAAGTGAAATTCGATCTGATTAAATTGCCAAAGTGTTTTTCTTTATATTGTATGCAGCTTTAATATCCTTAATATGATTGGCCAGTTCACACACATAAGAACTAAGACTATATCTCTTCGGCGATAAAAGTATAGTAACATAATGATGTAATGTCCATAATCTCGAACTAGATAAAAGTTAAACAGAAACTATTTAAAGGAATTTTACAAAAAGTAAGGGTCAGAAGATTCGATAATCCACAGATATGATTTGTAACAGATCGTTCGGTGGTCGTGACCGATTGCAGGTGACAATATCGTCGCGACTGAGACCTTGCGGCCGGCGGCCGGTGAACCGTGACAGGTCTAATGCTAAGAGACCAGATCGCAGCTTCCAACCTTAACTCATAGGCGATAGCGTTCCTGACGAAGAATTTCGAAATTACAAAATTGTATAAGGAATGAAAATTCATTCAAAATTCGAAGAAGCTGAAACAAAGTTTAATGAATCTGACAGTGATAATGCTTAAATTTGTGTTAAGTTAATTAATAAACGAAAACTAACTAAAACTCAAAAACCCATGCAGAGCTTGCTGTATGGAAACTAACTAACTAATATGTATATGAGTATATGAACAATCATAAATCAAAAACAAATATTTGTTCTTATTACACAAATTCACCTGACGGGATTTGAACCCAGCACATTTAAGCTTATTGTTTGCACCACCCGCTCGCCAGAAACTGTTATTACAAAAAGATAAAACCGACTTCAATAAAATCAAATACCTAGCGCGTCCGGGAATAAATAGATGTGTTACAATAATACAAATACAAATTAATGAGGTAAAACTATTTTTTTTTTGGAGAGTTCCTCACGATTTCTCCAGCATCATATCATCAGATCCTAACTAGCGAATTTGGAGATATTGAAATTAAAAAAGAGTTTTAGAACTCGGCCCATAATCTTCAATGATATCCCCGAACATACATACAAAAATATTCTAGCAACACCGTACGAGTTTTTTTAATTCCAAGTTGGTAAAAAAATACTAGACAGGAGATCGTAAAATGATCTTCCCACCATAAAAACACATACCTAAAACACCAAATTGTTATTTAATATTGATATTATTAGTAAAACATTAATTTGCATATTGTTATCATATGAAAAGTTTGAATGAAGCCGTTTTAATAGTTATTCTAAAAATTCAATCAATTATTCTTAGTCTATCAAAAATACGGCTAGTTTCTTACGGATATTTCATAACAAATTTTAGATCTTCAAACCGCTATCTTTTATACATTGCACCAGCCACAATGTGCTATTTATGTATTGTTACTGGATCAGATAATAGTAACTGTGCTAATAGTGATGTCATTCCATTATATTCTGTTACACGTTAATACCAGACAGTAAAAAGACGCAATAATTAGATAATAGATAAAGAGAAAATTGAGAAATTGGATTCTTCTTGGAATCTGCTGTAATATCAGAACTACCAATTGCTCAAAAAATTCCAACATGATTCGTAAATTACTCAATTACTTCTATTTTTCCTTTTTTCTGGTTAAAAATTTATAAGATATTGGAATGTCCAGAGCAAAAAATATTTTATCGAAAAAAGATATTTTTAGCGAACATAAAACGACGAGTTATTGACTCATAACCTATGTGACTTTAAATAATTTTATATTTTGTAAATAATACAAAATATTTTTATTATCATCATTATTATTACACGCATCAAAAGTGTCTAGGGATCAAGCATTTTTATGCGGATTTCTTGAGATTGAGATGTGGCTTTGTAATAAATTTATGATTTTATAAATTTATATGGATCCTTTTTGGTGCATTTCATAATTTGAATCAGGAACTGTGAATCAAATTCGAGTAAAAGATGAAAATCAGCTGTCAATATTTTCCCTATAAAAACATACAACGCATTGAAGACATTATTAGTGCTACTGTTTCCCTACTACTGATTAAAACCAACGTTATTATGGAGCGGCGACGTCATTTAAGCAGGGAAGAAATGCTCAGAGCCGTGGGAATGATAGAAGCTGGTTCCCGGCAACGTACTGTGGCTTTAGCTCTGAATACAAGTCAGAGTGTTATCAGTCGACTTTGGACACGATACCGAAGCACTGGTACCGTGGCTGAGCGCCATGGAGGACGGTATCGCTGCACCACACGGAGACAAGACCGATACATTCAAATCTTAACTCGAAGAGCTCCAACAATAACCGCCATGATGTTAGCCGTGAGGCTTCATCACTCTTCAGGGAACTTAATTAGCGACCAAACAGTCAGAAACCGCTTGCATGAAGTGAACCTTCATTCCCGAAGACCGCTACGGGTACCACCTATAGCAATGCACAATCGTAGGATTCGATATCAATGGGCTCTTGAACACAGAAATTGGGCAGAAGAACAATGGCGTTTCGTGTGCTTTTCTGATGAGTCTCGTTTTGGTATGAGACCGGATACAAGACGTATACGACACTGGAGAACCCCTGGACGCCAACAGCGATTAAAATCCTGCCAGGAAGTCCATCCTTATAGTGGTGGAACCATCATGGTATGGGCGGGTATTTGGATCGGCGGAAGAACTGAGTTGATTTGGATCAGAGGCAACCTCAACGCTCAAATTTATGCTGAGACGATTGTATCAGACGTCATCGTTCCTCTACAAGTGCAAATCGGTCCCTTATTTCAGTTAATGCATGATAATGCACGACCGCACACCGCAAGAGTTGTAAGACAGACTCTCGCCGCAGCTAACATCAATGTCCTGCCCTGGCCTGCTCAGTCGCCAGACTTGAACCCGATTGAGCATGCATGGGATATGCTACAGAGAAGAGCTCTGCCGAATATGGAGGGTATCCAGTCGCAAGAAGACCTTTTTTTGTTGTTGCAACGAACATGGGCGGCCATTCCACAGCGTGATTTGGATGAACTCATTTTGAGTATGCCAAACCGATGTTCTTGTGTTGTTAGTGTTCGCGGTAGAAATACGGATTATTAATTGTTTAAGTTACCCAATAAAATTTTAGAGAAAACTGTTATTTCAGTCTTTTTTTCGAACTTTTGTGTTAGTGGTTCAAATGTCAAAAATCCCTTTATTAGGAAAATGGCAAATTTCTTTATTAATGCAAAGGTGACTTGGTTTATCGTTACTGTGACAAACGAAAACACTTTATTTGATGAATCCTTAAAGAAAATTTTAATTAATATCAATCAGGAGAAAAGTTATTGCAAAAATATATGTTGATCCCTAGACACTTTTGATGTGTGTATTAACACCCACTTTTGCTATTAATGGAATACAGGAATACAGGGTTGTATTAACTGTACTAAAATATATTTTTATGAAAAACAAACGCTTTCTAGATGATTCTGATATTTTAATATTGTGTACGTAATACTTAAATATTCTACGTTGAAATGGGGTTATTAAAACTTTCACCACTTAAGGTACCTTTTTAGTTAGTGAAACTTCTTATTGTGTAAACATGTCTACACTACACCCACTATGAATCTGAATATTTTAGTAGGCTTCCGTTTATGTTTACCCAGAGGCATAGCTGAATAAAATATAACGGTAATTCACAAAATGTTTCATGCGGAAATTCTAATAGAAAGGATTTTAGCGGTCATTTCCACTGCAGCGTTATAGGTAGCATTATACCATGCACCAAGGCGATAAAGCTGTGTATTATACACGGGCAGCATATTGAATTCTGTGGTGATTCTGGCTGAAACAAGTGACTTTTCTCAAAACTGCCGGCACTGTCAATTTTCTCAGATTTTCTTAGAGTGCAACCTCCATATCAGACATAATCGGAAGGAATAAACTATTATTCGTTACATCGAATAAATCGTTAAATTGGGGTTTGTTATACTGAAGTAAGGTTGGTCTATAATTAGTTATTAAGAAGTAAAAAAATAGTTTCCTGTCGCGACATGTATCACACATACTATTGGTGGGAACGTTATATTATAAAGGTTTTGGGTTGAAAGCATTCCTTATTTAGATGTATTTACACTTTTTTTGATAGTTGAAAAAAAGTTATAAAGAGCTTGTTCGTAATGTAAAGTTATATTTTATACTGACTCATGTGGACAATTCAAGGGGATTACGAAGAATTCGTTAAATAAAGGAAGTCGTTATCAATATAAAATTACCAGCTTTACTTATTACACCTCAATAGGTTCGTTATTTTTTCGATTTTCCCCCAGTCTCCTTTAAATGTGATTATTACCCAAGGGAACTTCCAAAACTCTAGCGCCCTTGTGCTGTAATTTAGACTTAAAATACAATTCTATAATAATACATAAATGGGATTTACTTGTCATACATATGTTTTATACACCATTTATGTATTAATTACAGATATGATATTGACGTAGGGATATCTTAACAAGACTTAAACAAAAGGGGGTACAGTGAAACCTTAATATAACGTACCTATATATAATTTATGCTTTGGTAACAAAAAGATACCTTGTTAAGTTTTAATAAGTTTGGGATGTACTTGTCATTAATACGTTTTATACACCAAAATTATTTAAACTTAACAAGGTATCTTTCTGTTACCAAAGCATACATTTTGAAATTCATTAGGTATCCTTTCATATATTTAGAAAAAAAAACATGTTCTTATTAATAGTAGTCCAGTTGGTAATTTGCAGAAGTAATCAGTGGAGTAATTACAAACGCATAACTCCCAGAATGTGAGCTCTCGGTATTATATTTGTGATTTCAATCGTTTGACGATCGCAGTTAAAGCATCAGAATCCAGGCCATCTATTTCGGGCGCGATCGTGTCTTGCTATCCAGTAAACTTTGCATTTTCAGTAACAGAAAAAGTTCCGTTTACTTGACCTCATTCCGGGTTATTAATATTTCTATTGTAATTTTCGTAATCAGACTGTAAAAGCGTATTATCAAAAGATATTTCTTTGAATACGATTATCTGTCAAGGCTCAATGGGCAGCGTTTAGAACATGTAAGTTATTTTTCATTGGTTGCGTTTCATTTGCGGAAATGTTTTTATAGTTTTTAATTATATTTAAAAGTACAGAAATTCATCATTAACCTATAGGAAATAAATAACCTAACATTGACTTTTTAAAGGCATCTTAACTGAATCCCTTTTCTACCACTGATTTTTCAGCAAATTTACATTAAGAATATGTCTAAGATTAAGGCTGATCGGTTTCCTGACCAGGAATATTGATTAGAAATTCCGTAAACCTGGCGCAGACATTTCGGTGTTTTTATCGGGTACTTTCCGAACCGAACGTTAGGTTTTCTTTCCATTCTGAAAAAGCAAGGCATAGTGTACGCCTCGTTGAACATTTTTTTATGTAAGGACGTACATATGCGCCCATCCTAACAACTGCATTATGAGTCGTCAGAATTATATCTGACTACTTGAAAAGGATGCGAAACATCAAATAAGTAATAAAAAGACGCATTATTATCATCCCGTTTTAACGTGTTTTATCTAAAGAGTTAGTTTCGTTGTTTGTAAATTTGTTTGATTGAACGCGGTAATCGCTAGAACAACTGGTCCGATTTGAAACATTGTTTTTATGTTGGATAGTGCATGTTGCAGGAAGGCTATAGGGTACATGGCAATACGACTAATAGGAGCGGAGCACCAATGAAAAATGTTGCAAAAACGGGAAAAAATATTTAATTTGTGAGCTTCTATTACGTGCGCTGCGTAAACATACACAAAAATCATGTATAACGGAACTGTTAGTATTTTTTTTATAGCCAGGTAGGCAAATGACTTTTTTTTAAAGTTCTTTAAATGTTTATCTTCTGAGCAACGGTGTGCAGTATTGTACAGTGGCTGCACTCCTTCTGGGGAGGCGCACCTGTGATGCAAAGCGGATGCGGATGCCGTGCGAAGTCATTTGCAAAAAACGTTGGGCGTCGTTAAATACCTACTTCTTTGATTGTATTAATAATTTATTTACGAGTGGATTTCTCAAACATAATTTTTAGGCGTCTTAACTAAAAATCTAGGAGAATGCTATTTAGGTATTTTACTTAATAAAAATCTATAAGTTTTTTTTTCAGAGCCCTTTTACAAAATTGCGCCGCTCTAGTTTAGGTAAATATGACCGCGAGCGTGTCCGAGTCGCACGAGCGAGACATCGAAGCGGCGAAGTTCAGTATAGCGCGCTTTACCAAATTGATACTTTAATATGCAATTATTGATTATACAATAAATGCAAATATAAAATAAAGTTAATTTGAAGTGCTAAGATGGATCCCTACTGTAGCAACGAACGATTCTAGATAGGAATCCTGAGTGGAGCAAAGGATACAAGGATTAAGTTTTTTTACTATTGTGAGAAAATAAATAATATATTTATAGTACCCATTGGTTGCGTTTTGGAAATGACAATAAAGATTAATTATAATTATTACTAACTTTGGATTCAATCAGGCTTTGGACCACATTTCCGAATGGGGTACCAGGAACTTGGTTGAGTTCAATGCCAAAAAAACTCAGGCTTGCGCTTTCACGGCAAAAACATCGTCATTCCTTCCCCTTCCATCTCTTCAGGGCACAACACTACCGCTGCAGAGCAACATTTCCATGCTCGGTATGGAAGTTCGCTCAGACCTGAATCCAAAGAACTACATCGAAACCGTGATCAAAACAGCTTCACGCAAACTCGGAGTCCTGAACAAGGTGCGGCGTTTTTTCACGCCCGATCAACTGTGCTTGTTGTACAAAACGCAAGTGCGGTCCTGCGTGGAATATTGCTTGCACCTCTGGGATGGCTCCGCCAAGTACTTGCTCGATGCTTTGGATAGGTTACAGCGACGCGCGATCCGCATCATAGGCGATGAGGAGGTGACTAAACACCTTGAGCCTCTTCAATTACGCCGTGACGTGGCGTCACTAAGCGCGTTCTATCGTCTGTACCACGGCGAGTGTTCTGAGGAGTTATT